AGCCCAACGCTGGTCTATTGAAAGTAACCGTTTTGTTATGGCCTAACTTTACGGCTACTTTACCAAGAATTGAGTTTTCCTTTACGTATATCTTATAAAATAATTAATATTTTATTGTCAATTAATTTATTTTAAAAAGTAAATTTTATGTTTACCACAATCTGATAGTGGAAGAGACAGAAGGGTTGTTTGTTTGCAGTCAACAGATAGTAATTATTAGGAAATGTTTTCAAAGCGTTCACTGGATTTACATTGTCATCGTTGAGCCAATACTCCAGATTGAACTCAAGCGGTCGACACCGTTGACCATCGGTTCCGCAATCACCGCATTTACCCGAATAGAAATTGTCATAAGAATCGCATTCGTAAGCAATCAGTTGACAACTTTCAGCTTCTTTTAGCTCTCGATCAGCAATTGGTAATACTGTGGCCCTATTATGGTTGCAATTCCTCGATTCATTAGCCTTTGCTATTAAAATTTAAGAAAATAATTATTAGTAAACCTGATTCTTTGTCAGTTTATATTTAATAAATGTGATTATGGTCATATCTTAAAGTGTTTATATGTATTTATGACATCAATTTATGATTATTCAATAAATATTCGAAAACAATTTATATGTAATGCACCTTTCAAAGCTTTTTAATATCTGTATGTATGATTAACTAATATTGATTATACTTAACATAGAATTAAGTGCACTGGGTTATTTTGATGCAATACTAATAGCACACGTGGAAAAATGTCATTATTCTAGGAAAATAAGCATTCTACGTTCATTGTACATCTAGGTACTCTAGGTACAGAATAAAAGTATACGATAAACCTTTAAATCGATTGGTGATAAACGTAGTGACTGAGCGATTGCATCCGGGTTGTCCTGTTCCTGAATTACACATAAATGAAGTGTTAATATTGATTCAGATATTAATGACATGAATCAAAGACCTCCATTGGGCCGGAAATCGTAGTGTCCGAGTGGCTCAACATTTCCCACATAACCGCTCATTTGCAACACATCTGCGAGGGACCCATCTTTGGTGGTAATCATCATTAGTTTAGCGTTAAATTAATAAAAATTGCATTAATTGTTACCCCATTTAATGAGTCCACCGCTGGTGTGAGTGACGACCACTAGTGAGGCGTCTGTGGGGGCGAGTCGTGTGCGGGAGTCGTTGCGCCAAAAGCCAGGACCGGCGGGATCTAAGCCAGAGATGCGACCGATTTTAGGGTTTGTAAAGTTTTTGCCGCAAAAGCCAACGATATGTGCGCCCAGACTGTGACCCACCAAATGAATGTCCGCCACATTGACGCCCATTGAGACCAATGTCCGCACAAAGTATGACAGCATTGCGCCCACTATTTGACAATTAAAGGCGGCGTTAAAATAGTTTGAATCCGATGCCGGAGTCTCCCAGTCTAGTACCACAACATTGTAGTCGTAATCCAGGAAATAATCTTTCATATTCTGTGTGTATAGCAGTGAATTAAAATTCAGTTACAATTACTAATGAATGGGTGTATGAATTGGTATATGATTACAGGCATCCATAAGTCTTTGCCATAATAGTCGGTCCATCCGTGTGTTATGACAACAGTTTTGCGATTAATTGAAAAATTGGTTTTCGCAATGTCTTCGACAGTCGTGTTATAGACGAGTATTTCACTTATGTGTCCATTGTTTGAATCCCTTGTAAACAGCAATAGCTTTGCGTTCATATCTTCGGGATTCGTCGGACAGATGAAGAATAATTGGTTAAAAGTGAGATAATTGACCACAGATTCAAATTTTAGATCATCGCTGAGTCTTTCGATAAATGTTTTATTTGAAAAACATCCCAATCCTTCAAAACATATATCATTCGCACCTGAAGTTTACGCAATGTATAAGAATTTATCTAAAATTTAGATAGATACTAAGATTTAGATTCTAAATTAATAGTAACTTACAGTGTGTGTGGCCAAAGAATGTTCCTACTGTCTGAAAATAAGTAAACAAGGTCATATATTATAAATTACTATTTTTAAAATTAAATGCATTGCAAACCATTCGTAAAGTTGTGGAGATTGCAAGCCATGATACAACGTGAATAAATAACATTTTTGTTCCAATTATCAGTAATCCTGCTAAATAACAAATAATATTAATAACTAATCTTTCTATAAAATTTAATTTATATCATGATAATAATAGATATTACCTTTCATTTTAATGTAATTTTCATATATGACCACATTTAATATTTCTGGCAATTTTGATTAGCACTTAAAATAATTCTTAAAATTAAAAATTAGACATTTTTTAGAATTTCTTTGTATCATATTAGTAAACTATCATGGTAATATTGTAAATTCATTAATTATAATAAATCTAAACTTAATTAGAAAAAAATATATAACAATTATTACTATATTAGTATAATAAATATAAACTACTGATTATATAAACTACTGTTCAGTATATTTTATTGTTATAAGCAAAAACTAAATATAAAAATTATAAAAATAGATATAAAAATCTGTTTTAAAAAACAATGGTCTGTTTTATAATGTTTGCATAAATTAACAATGTAGAATCTGTAAAATAGAAAAAATAATCGATGAATAAATCAAAATTTCCTAATATGTAATTTTAAATTAAGTTAACTTATAAACAAACTAAAGAATTGGAAACATGATATATTTAGTTTTGTATGCAAATAAGTTAAATGGATATTTTATTATTTGGATTAAACTAAAAATTTAAATAATTTAAAATTGACAAAAAATAACAAATACTCAGCATGTTGTGCGTAATGTAAACAAAATTATATTTTATAATTAAATCACAAAGCATAATATTCAATTCAAAAATTAATATAAAATAAAAATAGTAAGACTTTATAAACAAATGCTTAATTATTTTGTAAAAACAAAAAGTTGTGTATATTTATACAAATTATAACCAATGGCTAAAAGAGTGGGCACATGGGATAGAGTGAAGCCTACTCCCCGGTGCACTGGATAGCCGACCCAAAAGGCCACTCTTCCCGCAACAAACAGCAAATTCATGGCCGGAATCACATTCAATACATCCGTCGGCTCTAAATGTGTGATTAGTATGAGTTGTGAGACAAATGACAGCAGAAATTGTTCGCATGAATTGCGGAGATTATTATTAGCCGATTGTGTCAAGTGCTCAA